GAGAGAGAGGGAAGGGGGCGGGGGTTGCACAGGAATTTGAACTCGTGATCTGATATTACGGCATATAGAGTTGGTAGGAGGAGTGCAGGTGGTAGCGGTATAGTATTAGTTATGCTATACTATACTATACTATACTATACTATATTATACTATACTATATTATATTATTACTATTACTATTACTTTCACTTGTATCACTTTTAAACTCTCTTATTCAACTTTCTTTCATCGATTCATCATCGTCTATCGCCGAATGATCTTTCCTAGATTATATGTACACTCGAGCCATAAGGACTGTGTGATTTTCATTATTAGCCACTATCATCTGCCTGGCTTCCTTTTTTCTCAAGTCAACATATATAAAAAGATCCATGTCTTCTCCTAGATACCCACAGATCCTTCTTTGACTCGCCTTTCAATCTCCCCCGCCATGAAATCCTCCGCTTCTCGTTCAGACTGTGAGGGAAGCACTGTTCACGACCATACCTCTGAATCTCTCTCCCATTCTCAAAAAGACCCTTGTCCAGACCGTATAGAAGAAAAGGTAGAAAGGAAAAGCAGTAGTAGTAGCGGAAATCTCCATACAAGATTTCCTGGCTCCGGTACTCTCCACGATCCCTACATTGTCAGTTGGGACAGCGACGACGACCCCGAAAATCCCTACAGCTGGTCCAACTCGAGAAAATGGCTCATCACAACCCAGGTACCTATGTCCGCCGTCCCCCTCCACGAGGTTCACACGTTGTACCTAACATTCATACCAGCTCGCCTTGACCACCTTCACCGTCTCTTTCAGCAGCAGCTCATACAGCGGCGGCCTCGAAGACATCACTCGCGATCTACACGTCTCAGACGAACTAGCCGTTCTAGGTATATCCTTGTACGTTTTAGGATTTGCTCTAGGGTATGTCCAATTTCTCCGTGGACGTTCGTGCCTTCTCAACACACACTCCTCCCAGTCCACTCTTATTCGCACCGATGGGAGAGGTTCGTATTGGTCCCCGTACCGCTGTCAATTGATTCTGATCTCGTTTGATCCATGTCTTCAGATGTACGGACGAGTGCGTAATTACCGACGTCGGTCTGATTTTAACCCAATATTGACCATCTTTTCACAGCGTATCATCTTTTTGATCACTGTCGGATTATATACTCCCCTTCATATCGGCGGTGCCTTTGCGAAAAACATTGCCACTGTCCTCGCAGTACGCTTACTCACAGGTATCTTTGGCGCATCCCGTAAGCGTGTAGGTCATGTCCTTCTTCCAGGAGGCTCATATGCTCCTTCTATTTGTAGCATTAACCAATGCGGGAGGAGTGGTGGCTGACATATTTAGCCCTCGTGAACGTGGATTGGCTTCTGCCATATATGCTGCGGTACCATTCCTCGGCCCAGGTCCGTTGAACAATCAAAAGTCGTGTGTATGCACAATATTCTAATCTCCCGCCTCCCCAACAGTCATCGGACCCATTGTGGGAGGTTTTGTCGCAGACTCCAGTCTGGGCTGGCACTTCAACTTTTGGCTCATGTTATTACTTGGTGCTCTGAGCCTAGTAATGGGATACTTTGTTGCACCCGAGACGGTAAGTTACCGAGCCAGCTGCCCGTCAGAAGCTTCTTACACGTTGACAGTATGCACCTGTTCTTCTGCGACGTCGTGCCGAACACCTCCAGAGGCAATCGCAGGGCACGATTCATTACATTTCCAAACACGACCTTGGTCGTGTAACTTCCTTCACCAAAGTCATGCGAATCAATCTAAGTAGACCATTTGGTCAGTAAATCATCTTCTTCAAAAGAATGTGTTCGACGTCTGACGGACGTAGCTTTCATGGTTACCGAACCCATCGTCTTGCTCTTGGCCATTTACATCTCTATTGTATACGGAGTTCTCTATGCATTGTTTTCCGCCTTTCCGATCGTCTTCGAGAATCATCGAGGTTGGTCGGCCGGCGTCGGAGGTCTTGCTTTCCTTGGCGTTGGCGCAGGTATTTCCGTAGGAACCGCCACTGCATCTATCCAAAATAGAATCTATTGGAAGGCAATGGATAAAAGTCCCAGTGGACGGGCGCCACCTGAAGCGTGAGTTTTCATTCAGTCCCCACACTTTGAACGTGACGGCTTATCACGGCTGCCACAGTCGCCTGCATACAGCAATGATGGGAGGTAATTCTTTCAAATCAACTCTTCGCAGGATCGTCTCGACCAATATCTTCTTGAAGGTGTTCTTGTGCCTATCGGCCTCTTCTGGTTCGCATGGTATGTTTTCTGCAAAAAAAAAACAAACAAACATATACGTACTCACATTGAATTTCTCTACTAGGACCGCCGACCCCCCTGTTCCCTTCATCGTTCCAATCATAGGCGGCTTCCCTTTCGGCATGGTAAGTTCAACTCCCTCGGCATTTTTCGGACATTTATACAAATCTTATAGGGCATCTGCCAAATTTTGCAAAGTTCAACCGCCTATTTGATGGACGCCTACGAACTGTATTTTGCGAGCGCCGTTGCCGCTACGATCGTTCTGCGCTCCATATTCGCAGCCGTGTTCCCCGTTATCGCACCTACCATGTTTGGGCGCCTAGGAGACGCATGGGGTATGAGCATCTTTGCTTTCCTGGGCTTAGTGTGTGCCCCGATACCTTTCTTATTCTGGGTAAGGATATTGAAACCTTTGATGGAATTTATCACTAATCACTTCTGGTCAGAAATATGGAAAAGCTATTCGCAAAAAATCGCAATATGCATACAAAGAATCTGACGATTCATCTTGAGATTTTGTACCTACATGACGTTTTTGCATCGATTGGACCATCTAGTTAAACATTCTTGTACATCACCCGTTAATCGTCAGGCTCTGCTTGTAATTATGTTTTAATGTATTACATTAGTATGCAAGTTCAAAAGGACGCGACAACATAAGATGCCGCAGATTCGACGATGCTGGCTGACGTCCATGCCCCCACGGAGTTACTTGAAACAGTAATTACTCCTATGCAACGTGCTTCGCTGGCTTCGGCGGGTCCTCACAGATGATGGCAATATAGGTGACCATGAGCGCCGTACTGCTTCAACCGCTGCCTACCTTCTCTTCTTCCAAGGCCGCCCATGGTCACGGTTCCTCGACGGATCCACGGTCCTGGCCTCATGCTGGTCAGTATATTCTGTTGACTGATTCCACCGAGAGCTAGTGTCGGGAGCCCGAGTACCCGAGGACCAGCTATTTTGGTCACCTTGACCTTGTTGGCGTATCCCGCTGTTGTGTTGATGAGAAACTTCGGAGCTGTTCCATGTATTGTGAGTGGTAGGAAATTCCGTATGTGGATCGGAAACGTGTGCTTCTTGAGCTTCTTGAGCAGTCGAACTTTGAGGCGAGTCTTCCAAAGCGGGAACGGAAACGCGCATAAAGTCCCAAGCTACACGAGCAGAACCCATACCCCAAGCTTCCGAAGCTTGACGTTCGATCTCTGCTAAGACATTGGCGCGAATACCCTGCACTCGGTACGAAGTGTTTGAATCGGGGGCAGGAAATCTGGAAAGATGAGGATCAGAGCAAAGAAGATGGAGCGGGAAATTCTCGGGGCTGGCCTTCCTCCAATATGATTTAGAACAAGTTTTTTAGCACCGATGATCTTGGCGAATGTCCCTGCCATTTCTGGTAGTGAATGTCCTCTGGCCAAGGCTTTTTCTTTGATCGTTTCATGAGATCGTTTAGCCTTTGGATCTATAACTTGAGATATATGCGCGTCTGTAGCTTCATGAATAAGGAGCGAAGGCGGGGGATCCGTGCATAAAGGTACGATAGCAGAGGGATCGCAGGTATCGCCAAGTATGACTATTTTGCGATAGGGTTTGACGGCTTCCCTGAAAACGTATCCAATACAAGGTTCTAGTATTTCGCATAAGTAACGGCAGTTTGAGTATGAAAAATGAGATTCATCCGACCTCGATGTGCAATGGGGCCTGCATCGACTGCGACTGGCCCGAAAACTCCCTGTTGTTGAGTTATACTTCTCCACGACCCATCTTCCGGAGAGCACAGAATGTCTTGGCCGGGAACCTAAAAACCACCTGTTGAGACGCACGGCATAGGCACTTTATAGAGTTGGAGGAAGACCTCATTCGAATGCATGACCTTGGGGTCGCAGGAAGTCACCTGGTCAGTGGGAGCCAAAAGTTCGTGCACGACATACTTGTCGGCCATTCTAGTGAAGGTCATGTTGAGAATACTTCGGACAAAGTTTCTTATTCCTGCGGGGCCGTATATCTCAATGCTTGGATCCTAGCATTGTTCAAGCAGAATGAACGTGACCGTTTGGAAGAGTGCTTACAGGTTTCCTAAGAGATTCCAGTTGTGGCGCGTCGACGCCTACTGGGACTGGAAAGAGGACACTGCGAAGAATTGGAACGATACTGTGGTATGTCGAGACGTGAATACCGCTAAAAAGACTGGGCACTGGAATATACAATCACCCCATGATATGGTCGGCTGGACTCGTGTAAGAAGTACTGATGAAGAAACGAAGAATCAACGAATTCACCATGCATGTGTGTTATGAATATCTTCTTGACTTGAGATAAGCGGGCATTGGATCGATCCGGGCTATACGGTTGCAGTTGAAATTGACGGAGAGTTCCTTCCGCACAATCGACCACTTTAGACACGGAGATGAGACTCAAAGATGAAGCGGAGAAAAGGACGTGTACTCCAAAGGGTTCCATCGCCTAACAGGTCGGCAACAAGAGACGAACAGTTGCGCGATGCACTGGGACCTCCGCCACTGGAAGTACCAAGGAAAGTTACAGACATTGTAGTGGTCAGCATGTCTTTTGTAATATAGAGACGAGTACGAGTTGTAATTGAGCTAGTGTTGCGAACAAGACGTGGTAGTCTTGTAGCGATTCCGCGCATGAAACGGATGAAGCGCAGTACGTGACGAGCAGCGTTTCATTAAGTAAAAGTATCGCATTGTATTTTTTCAAGTTTCCACAGGAACGAGGTGGGATGGCCGAGTGGTCTAAGGCGTTGGATTTAAGCAATTTGACTTGCTTCCCAATGGAGGAAACTCCGCGCGAGTTCGAACCTCGCTTCCACCAGTTAAAGTTTTTCCGTTTTATTTTTTATCATATCGACACACAAAGTACATAAATCTTATTTCAAATCAAAAGCATCATCCTACACTAGCGACTTAGAAAAACTTTGAAACAAACTCAGTCGGTGCTGAAAATGCAGAGATGAGCGATACTTACTCCTTGAATGTTGTCCTGACCACCTGGGCCTTCACGGACACTGACAGAAGACTAGATGAGTTGAAGAAGATTTACAGGAAAGCACAGACCTACCGTCGGGTGGGTTTAAACTCGTCCTGTTGCTCATCCGAATTCCACAAGTTTGAGATAGAACTAGCTCCGCCAGGAACAGTCCTTACACGTCTAGGAGTAGTTTTGAGTATGCGTCAGCGCCAAAGGAGCTAAGTTGCACGCACCTGCTGGGCTTGACTTGAGAAGTGAAATTGATTCCCGTGTGTTCATTTTCGGTCGGCTCTTGGTGAGGTACAGAAGGGCTTGCTACAGACTCAGTATCCTAGGTATGGAAAGTGAGTCCAATGAATAGGCGGATGACGAAAGATAGACGAACCTCGGTTTCTTTGGGAGGAGCTTGGGACAATGCATCATCTCCATCGTTGCCACCGAAAATGTCGGTGTGACCACCACCAGGTGCTTGACGGACGCGACGGGAGGGCTTGTAGATCTCGTCGTCTGTCGTCGAACTTGCAGACGCTAGTAAAAAAAAAAAAGAAGGGTCAATGGGGAAGCATCTGGAACGCGTGAAAGACGGACGAGTGACAGATGGAGTAGCTTCCGATGGGGTCGTTGGAGTCGATAATTTGCCAAACTTGGCATATCCTGACGCGAATGAGTATGCTGGGAGGAGCGAACATTCATAGGACCTACTGGGCAACTTGGAGATATTGTTAAAGTTCGTATCGACGGTGGTTCCAGTATATCTATGAAAGGGGATTGAATGACGCGTCGAATGGAGAGGAAACAGGACTGTACTTGAGAAATTCGATCAAAGATCGCTTTGTGAAGACGATGCTGGTGTTATCCCAGTCGAGCATACCGAGTGCAGCTGACCATTCCTTCTCTTTGGACATGTCGACAGTATTGCTAGGCGTGAAACTGAGAAAATAAAGGTCAGAATGAAAGAAAAGTCAGGATATCAAAAGACGAACGTCGCGGCCATGGTAGTAGTATGTAGTCAAGTTGATCGCCGTGAGACTGTCTCTATGTTCCGTACAACCACCCGCGCCATTTCGCGGCATTCAACTCGTCGTTCTCTGGCGTCTTCAGCTTATACAAACCCTTCAAATCCAAATGATCCTGCTTTGACAACCACCCCGCTCAATATCACAGACCAACAGCGCTCAGCTCTCGATTCTGCCCTGCGCGTCGACCAGGCAGGCGAAGTAGCAGCAAATTGGATTTACTATGGCCAGCATTTCATTCTTGGTCAGCAGCCTATTACAGGACCTTTGATTCAAGTATTTATTCATCATTCTATATTATCGCCACTGCTGACTTTGTGTGGCAGGAAATGTGGGACCAGGAAAAGAAACACCTCGCAGTCATGGACAAGTTGCAGATCCAACACCGTGTCCGACCTACATTTCTCATGGATGCTGCAAAAATTGGAGGGTTCGGTTTAGGTGCTGCAACAGCGCTCATGGGTAAAGAAGCTGCCATGGCTTGTACTGAGGCGGTCGAAACCGTGATTGGTGAACATTACGACGAGTAAAGGAGTTTCAGCCTTGGTACAACGTATCTGCTGATTCTTCCTCCTAGCCAACTGAAACAATTAGAGACTCTTCCATCTGACCATCCCAGCGTTCCATTACTGAAACAGGTGGTGGAGGAATTCCGAGACGACGAATTGGAACACTTGGACATTGCGGTGATAAACCATGCGCAGAGAGCTCCAGGGCATGCTTTATTGAGCACAGTTGTAGGAATGGGATGTAAAGTAGCAATTGAATTGTGCAAAAGATTCTAATACAGGTTATTTGGCCAGAGATTGCCCTTTGAGTTTTGCATTCCAAGACCACCGGGACTACGAAAGTGTCAGTATCTAAATGAATGGCAGAGCGAACACGTACCGTCGTGTAATTCACTGCAGAATATACAGCTATTGGGAACACCACGACGCCTAGAATAGCAGCCCTAGCGGTTTTTGGAGTCCATCGAAAACGAAGATAATGTTGTTCGCGCTGTGTGGATCGTTCAGCATACGCAAGAACTGGCTGTAAACGGCGTCACAGACCCATAAATTGGAATTTTCAACGGCAGCATCAGGTTTGAAAGGACCTATACGAGTCGGTCAGTGAAGCAAAATGCCAGTTCCTAACGTATACTTGCCATGTCCCTCGGCCATGGTGGTGCGAATTCAAGGATTGTTTGGTTTTTTGTTTATTCACTTCTTGACTCTCGACCACCATCACCTATCATGGACAACCGCGAATGGGATAGAGGGAAATTTAACGATACTCGACAGAATTACCATCCAAGGGAGGAAGATTATCATGCTCAAGGAAAGCGCAGAAAATTTAACGATGGAGTATGTGCTCGCTCATTCTCTTCATTAATCATCCTCTGTTCACCTCCGTCTCAGGGATATCAAGGCTATGACCCTTCTCAGGCGTACGAGGAATATGGTCAGGACCATTCCCAAGGCCAACAAGGTCGCGGTGCCGCTGGCGGCTACCCCAAGAAACGACTGCAACCCTCCGAACCTAGTCCCCATGTCATATTTCTCGGCCTCGATCCAGACTTTACCGAGTCCGATGTCCGTCGCGCCTTTTACGCTCTCATGACCTATTTTGCTCAATATCAGTATTTAACCAGTTGCAATCATACCTCAATTCTCATGGATGCAGTGTAGAGTCCGTCACAATCATCCGAGAGCGATCAACAGGCAGTTGCCCATTCGTATATTCCGCTTTCTACATGCATTGACATAATCTCTCTCTCTACGTCTGGATTATCAAGGTTCCTCCAAAGGTTTTGGCTTTGCGCAATTCAGCAGTTCTGAACATGCTCGCGCTTTCGTGGACCCGCTATTTCCATTCGTTCAAGTGCCCCCTCCAGCTTCCCATGGCGCCACCGCCACTGCTGCATTTTACAAAAGTCTCGAAACCGGAATGCCTCAACACGGACGAAGAGTCAAGATTGATTACTCCCAAAGTGCCACGCCACATGAAAAAGGCCGCTCTAGAGGAAATACCAATGATGGTACTCGCGATATTGGAAATACACAAGCGCCTGTCCTTCTCTTCAGGGGCCTTGATCCACTTTCTGGACCACAGGCAATCCATCAAGCGATGAGGTCTTCTTCAGGATCCGGCAAAGAGGGCGCCAAAGGCATGAAGAGAATCATCCTCATAAAGGATAAAGTCACCTTGGCCAGTTTTGGGTTTGCCTTTGTGGAATTTATTGATACACCTGTACCGTCGCTGTTTTTCAAATTGTCAGAGACTAGATTAACATTCTCTTTAGTCGGCTGCTGCTGTGCTTGCAGCCAGCATGTCACCTCAGATCCACCCCGCTGGATTTCGCATATCCGATCGGCCTGTCGCAGCCTCTTTTGCGCATCCCGACTCTTTTCAGCCAATTCAGGAGAAAATGTTGCGAGACGAGACTTGCCTCACTTCATCGCTCGCACTGGGAGGAGTGGAAGGCACCTGGGTTCGCTACTGGGATGAGACGTCTACCGTCGCAGTGCTGGAATTTCAGGTTGCAGCACCCCAGCCGACAGCAGCGTCTACTGGGAAAGAAAAGAAAGAAAAGAAAAAGAAGGGTAGGAAACTACTTTAGATATGAATCTGTCGTCTAACATGCGGCTCAGAACCTGTTCTCAAACCTATCGCGCCCCCTGCCCCTTCCGCGCTTCCTGTGTCCGACAAGCCTGTCACACTCAGTTTCAACAAAGGCCCTTCCAAGGCTCTTACAGGTATGTCACTGGATCTTTGCAAGTTAAATTACTTCTGAACCACGTACGTCAGCTCTGGGAGCCCCTGTCAAGCCCTTGTCGTTGGGATTTTCTTCTGAAGACATAAATGAAGAAAGTGAGGATGCGGAGGATAGCCTGGCCGTTGGAAGCACAGGTTTCTTTTTTTTTTTTTCGCTCTTCGAGTTTTTTTTAACTGACCGGTCTACACAGTGAATAACCCAAAGGGCGTTGCTCCTTTGATCGCGAGCAAGAAGGTAATCTATGGGACAGATTGAGCATCTCTGCACGTAAAGTCATTTATTCCGATTTGCTTATGATCCGCGTTGCTGGCAGACTATCAACAACATTACCAAGTGGAATCAAGTTCAAGAAGAACTTTCGGGGAATGCTCCTGCCAAAGTGTCTCCGTCTACTCCGGTAATCAACCCTTTTCATGGCTTCCCCTGCGTTGCAATAATTAAACTGGTACATGTTCCCCACGGCAGCAGCTTGCTTCCGCGGAAACACAGGTGGCTATATCGATCACGGCGGATGCACCTGCGTCCGGTACACCTCCAACGGAAAACGAATTTGAATTCTCGGACGTCAACACGCTCGCTTGTTTGCTATGCTCCCGTCAATTCAAGTCCGTTGATCAGCTCAAGCGTCATAACAAGGAATCAGAACTTCATAAGGCTCGCTATCTTCACAATATTTTTTTCTTCTTGTGACTTACGTCTTCTTTCTACTCTCGGCGTCATATCAACACCCTCAACAGACGAAATTTATGAACGCCAATTTACGAGACGAAGCTCGGCAGAAGATGATAGCTCGGCAGCAAGGAAAGGCTTCTGAGCAACCCAAGTATCGAGATCGAGCTCTCGAGAGACGAACTCTGTTTAATCAGCCCGAAATTCCTCTTCCTGAAGCTGACAATGGCAAGGTCTCGAAGAGGAAACAAGCTGAAGGTCCACCCCCTCCACCCCCTCCACCATCAGTTCCCTTGAATCCTGGTCAGGATGAGAACAATGTCGGCAACAAGTTACTCAAAATGATGGGGTGGAGAGAAGGAACGGGCCTTGGCGTCAATGGCGAAGGTCGAGTGGACCCG